TTCCTGCTTTGAGCTGTGTAATGGCAGCGAAAACATGTAGCTGTCTTTGTTCTATAGAAATGCTTTTCTTCAGAGAAGCTGATCTTTGTTAATGTCTTGATTCTGTTCGCAAAGCACAGACTCGTGCTTAAAAAAAAGGAAAGAAAAATTGGAAAAAAAATAAAAAAAAAAAGTTACAGAATGTCGTGTGCTGGGCCTTCCTTGTGACCTTCAGGCTGGGTGGACTTGGTGGTGCTGGCAGCATCTTTTAGACTGATCCTTGAACCAGCTCTAGCTCCTCTGACTTGCTCCAGCCCTTAGCAAGCCCCAGGAGCACAAGCAGGTCCCAGAATAAAGATGGTCCGCTCTGGGCTGAGGGGGCGGGACGAGGGGCCCTAGGAGAAGAGTCTGCTGGGATCAGCACGTTTTCCTTTGTTGAATGAGAGGAACTGACCGCGTCCTTCTCATGAGATCCAGGCCTGTCACTGCTCCTCAGTGGATACATCCCTTTTCACTCAGCCTTTTCATGCCCAGAATTCTTTTGAAATGGGTGCTGGGTGGGCTTGCTTTTTGCTTTGAACCTAAAGTCACAGCATTTTTTCTCCTGAGGAGACTCAGTGCTTGTGTTCTTCCAGACAGGTTGGTAAGTGGATGGGCCTGGTTCCGTGTTTACTCCCTTCTCTGCGTCCCGGGACAGTTGAGCTGAAGGAGCTGGTGAGGTTGTGTTTAAGCTTCAAAAACCACATGTGCCTTTGGCTGGCCTGTTGACCATGAATTCTCTGGCCGCAGTTAAGGCCCTGCTCTACAGAGCATGTGCCTGAGCCGTTAAAGCACGTCGGGGAGAGCCAAGAAAGTGAACGTTCAAACTTCCTATGAAAATGTTCGGATTCAGTATCATGATTGTGGCCTAACTGGTCCAAGAGCAGTAATAAGATGATGACTGTTTGGGTTTTGTGTTTGTGGCTACAGGAGAAGCTGTCAGGCCTCCTATCAGTATGACAGAAACTCTCCTCCAGTGGGTACTGAAACCAACAGCCATTCATCCCTTCAGCGGACTGAATACGCTCGCTCAGCCCCCGAGCTCTAGGCCAGCTTTGCAGGACAGATGCTCCGGGCAGCCTGCTCACCAACATCCCCAGTCTTTCAGCTTTGAATACACTGCCACCTGTCTTGCAAACTTCAGCAGCATTATGATCTCAGCCACACCTTTGGCTTGGGCGAGGCTGGCTGACCAGCAGGCGTGGGATAGTCAACTGAAAAGGAATGAGTCTGTGAACTCTTTCTCAGGTTCCAGACAGACTAAAGACCACTGGGAAATACGTCTGGGTTTTTAAAACACCAGCACCTCCCATACTGAACTAAGTTGGAGAACGGTTTTACAAATCCTGCCTCGTTCATTGTCTTGTGCCCGCAATCTATGGACAAGGGGCCTTATTTAATCAGAGTAATAACTTTATTTCCAAATTCACTTTTACAGCAACAGTGTAAATCATTTGTTAAAACACACAATACACTATATGGACATTCACAGACAGGAAGCTAAGCTAAGATGATTTCGTGTCCCTCCCTCCCACCCTCAAAATTCCCAAAGAAATCACGGGACTTGCAAGTGCCAGAAACTGGCCTGCCTGACACTGCAAATTCACGGGGCTGAGTCAATCAGGAGGCAAGAATGCCGGTCAGTACCCAGTGTAACTCTTTTCTGCGCCGAAGAGAAGCCACAGATCTGGAGATGGGGCTCCCCAGTGGTTTCCACCTGGCCCTCATCCCCCTGCCCCCATCTCTCAGCTCTTCCAGAGGACAGTGATGAAGGTGAGAGGGAAAGAAAAGGCCTAGTGCAGGAGGGAAGGATGCCAGGCTCTCTGGGAGGGTGGGACTAGGACCCCCAAGAACGAACTCTCCAGAGGTCTCAGCCTGCACCTGGCTGGGCAGAAGAGAGGGAACTAGGTGACTGCCTTCTGCCCCTGGGAAAGCCTGTCCTTGGAAGGGCGGGACCCCAAGGACCTTGAGCCCCCATGGTGGCTCCCTCAACAAACACGGTGGAATCATGAAGAAAAGGGTTACAAGGCAGTTTACTGCCGCACCCCAAGACTTCCGTTTGTTTACCCATGTTACATATCTTACAGGTTCCTCCCCCCTCCCCCCTACAGCACAACAAGCAATTGCAAACAGGATACAGAGTCTCACCACTGAAGTTGACTTAATGGGACTACTGATAAAGTGAACAGAGAGCTGGACGGAACCAGGTGGATCCCAGAGACACTAAACAAGATATGAGAAATGGAGGGGAGGTGCCCAGCCCTGGGGAGATTGTCCTCATTCAAGGTCAGGGCGGCAACATCCCATTGCCACCTGTCTGCCACAGCTGACCTGCTTGGCCCTAAACTTGCCCCCACAAGACCGTGTCAGTGAAGAGTGGGCACAGAACTGCAGGAGCCTGGGGTGCAGGCAGGGGTGAGGGAAGAAAAGCGGCTGAAACCCAACGGCAGTGCTGAATGGGGCCTCCTCACTGAGAGCTGCCAAATCTGTAATCCACCTTTTCCTTTTCCTTCCTCAGACACTTCTGAGAGCATCTGAGACTTGGGACACAAGGAGTCACGAGGAGAGAAGGTCTAGATCATTCTTGCAAAGATAACTCTAAAGCCTCCAGCCCTCGGGGAGAAGCCGCAGACTCTACCACCAACCTCAAGTAGCTTTTCTGCTCAGCCGAATGTGGGGCAGAACAGCCTGAGCATGCCCTTTAAACAGCTGGATTCTGCAAAGTGCTTCCCTTCCCCCAGCGCAGGCGGACCTGCGTGAGGTCGGGCTGCTGGAGCTCTGGCCTCAGCTTTCAGGAGGGTGTCCGTCTCCTGACTTGGCATCTGTCCCGCCAGGTAGCCCAGTGGCCCCCCCACCCCTGTGGCTCTCTGGCCCTCAAAAGGAGAATTAAATCTCTTCTGGGGGTGGACTATTGGCGGTTCCTGGTCCGTTTTCATTTGAGGCAGGCATTGAAAGGCCTTCATGAAGGCTGCTGTAGCGCCTCTCCGAGGAGAATCGTCTTCACGTTCCCAGGAAAAGCCACCTCTATCCAACAAGGGATGCCCTGGGGAGACAGGAAGTGGCAGGTGGTGGCCTCACAGCAGAGTCCTTGTTCTGGGTGTCAGGGTTTCAGGCCTTTGCTACCATCTCCTAGGTGTCAATCCAGTCCCTGGGGGTGGGGTGGGGGTGCAGGTTGTGTGTGTCCCATATGCTGATGAAAACCTTTCATAAATAGGTGCCCCAGAAAGAGTAGAGCCTCAGGGGCCTGGAGCCGAGTCCCAGTGTGCAGTGAGAGACATCTCGGACCCCCATGGGGGTGAGTTAGAAACCTCTTTACAAGCATTTCAAGATACATGTGTCTTTTTTTTTTTGTCTTTTTGTTTTTTCTTTCCACTATCATAGTCACTCTGATGAATCCAAGCATAAACAGACAAGAATCCAACTACGACGTTAACAGGGTGCAGACGGGGAGGGGGCGACATCTATGTATACGTTCAGCTGCTCCGGCGGTGTTTCCAGCAGGATGGGGGGCAGGAACCATTTCCGACAGGGCGGTTTCCTTTTGGGGGTGTGGAGGGTGGCTTATGTGGGGCTGAGCGTGGTCTGGCTCGCAAGAGGCTCAGAAGATACAGGCTTGGGGGCGGGGACGTGGGGAACAGGCTTGTCCGCCCACCCAACACCTGCTGCCAGCCCAACACGGGAAGGACCCCAGGCTTCTGGACAAAGTCCTGTCCAGGTCAGCGGGGCCGAAGTGTGTGGGGTCGCTGCTGAGCTCTTTGCTGGTTCCCACTGTGGGGGCTCAGTGTTCTCTGACGGCAGGTGCCAGCTGGGCTTGGAATGAGATGTAGTGTGGGATCGGGGACCCCACTGAATGAGGAATTGAGAGGGAGAGACTGGATGCAACGCTGTGCCTAAACCTCCCTTGGTTTCCCTCCATAGTTTCCAGAAGGCGCTGCCTCCATCTCACCGGCATTCCTTAGTGACGAGGGGGCGGGAGGCTGGGAACTTGGGAAGGGTGATGGGGTGGGTGGGAAAGGCAGTGACCTGGCCCCGCACAGTGGGCAGACAGGGCAGGGCCGTGGGAAGGTAGGAGGCTCGACCTCCCCCACCCTAGACCCACACACATGCGCCAGAGCCCCAAGCATGGGAACAAACACTGTCCCCAAGAGGCATGAGTCCTTACAAAGAGAACTTGGTTAGCCCTAAAGTCCCAGGTCTGTGAGGTGACCAGAATCGTGGCTGCAGCTCCAATTTACAGGGCTTCCGTGGGTCCCCTCCGCTTAGGAATGCCACCCGACAGGGAGGCCAAAGAGGCCAGCGGCTCACAGGGCATCAAGACCAGCCACCCTCCTGCCCATCCATCTTCTTCTGCCACTGTCCCTGCATGGAATGGAGGCCCACACCTCTTTTCCCTTTGGGGGCCCAACAGAGAGGCATACGGCCTGCAGCAGGCCCCTGCCCAGCCAGGTGGGGGCCTGGACCAGGCTGTTTGCACGCCGTCCTCTGTCCATGTCTTCCTCGCCCCTCTTCCCCCCCAATCCATCCTCTCTACAGACATACCCAGTTTCCAGTCTTCTGTTGTTGCTGCTGCCTCTTGAGAAGCCCTCCCAGGGGCTGGGGCCCCTGTCCCCTCAAATCCACACCAGCGGCTCACAAAGCTCCCCCCTTCTGTTCAGAGGAGGTTGGGGGGAATAATCAAAAGGAATAGCCCAAGGAAATGTAGGGGGTGGGCATCTCTTTCTGCGTCTTCTTGAAATGCTTTATTGTTGTTAGCCCGCCCGTCAGTTAGGGAAGGTGGAGTTTGCTTGTTCCCCTCACTAGTTTTGAAGTCCGAGCTGGAGCCGAGTGGCAAAAGCAGGTCGAGTGTGTAACCGACTGACCGATCGGTGAGGAGCAGCTGGGGGAGGGCAGAGGGCGAAGGGCCGGATCGTTACGCGTTTTTTTTCCCACACTCTCTCACTCTCTCTCTCTCTTCACGATTTGGGGCCGCCCCAGGGGCCTGATCACAAACCCTGCTTGGCCAGGGACGCAGACACCTCCTCCGCGAGTGTTGCGAGCTGGGGCGAGTCTTCCATGTTGATGCTGCCAGTGGAGGAGACGTTGCTGAGGTGGCGTGGGGACGTGTCCCCGGACACCACGGGCGACTTGTACACGATTTCTGCCCCGTGGTCTGTCTTGGCTTTGGCGTTCTCCCGGAAGGTCAGCTTGTGGGTTTCGATCTGTGGGAGAAGAAACCTTCCGTTACCAGTTCACAGACAGTGTCCCCTTTCTTGCTGACAGCTTGTGTGCTGTCAAGGGAAGGTGACCAACATGAGTCCTGAACTGGTGGACATCTGGGTTGGCTCTCGCTCTCACGGTCACCACTGCACAGGTGAACTCACTGCATGGTGAACAGCTGCATACAGGCATCCCCCACGCACAGCTGGGAGACAGCCGAGAAGTGGAATGCCAGGTCGAAGGCATGTGCATTTTATTCAGATGATGTGAATCAGAGGGTCGGAACTGACCCACCTGTGCTGTTTCAGAGGCAGTAAATCCCGTGGGAGGTGACTGCCTATCTTTCTCACGACGAGTGGCAGGTGGATTTGAACCGCATACCTTTGTACTGGCAGTGCAGTTCCTTACCACTGAGCCACCAGAGCTCACTGTGTTTATCAGGTAGACATTGCTCTGGTGTTGCTGGTTTTTTTGGGGGGTGGGTGTGGGGGTGTGTCTGTCAAATGTCAGAGCTCCAGTGATTATTCAGATAAACACTGTCAAGTTACCAGTGAATGTCATTGGAGAAGCTAGAGAGGATTAAGGGCTGTCCCCAGAGCTGTGCTTTCCAGCCAGGAGTCGCACACCTCCGCACCTGCCAGTGACCGACAAGGAGGGTGGAGCCGGCAGCACAATGCTAGGGAGTGTGACACATCAAAATCCTTTTTAACTAGAGCAACAACATCGCAACTAGAAGGCGCCAAAGGACACCCGGAAACTCAGAGGCACTAGCCAGAGTTGCAAGTAGCGCTTAGAGTGGCCGTCACGGTGTCTGCGGGACACAAGAACAGTGGTTCTCAACCTTCTCTGGCCCTGAGCCTGTCTGAGTATCTGGAAACCAGGAATGGGGGGGGGGGCGTTTGTCATTTCCCATACAATCCACAAGCCCACGGACCCCCGATGAAGACCTCTGCCATAGAGCTCTTCAGTGAGGGAGTAAAGAGAAACCGGACTACACGTATATTTTGCTCATCTGGAAGTCTTTTTTTTTCCCAATGACTCTTTCACACTAGTGTATTTGGCCATTTTTTTAATTGTGGTAAATGCACATGGAACAAAACACTTGTGTTTTCAACAGTGTTCACATGCGCGGTTCAGTGACGTGACTGTGTCCCTCGTGTCCACCCACCAGCCTGCTCAGCCCCAAGTCCCCTTGGCGTCGGCTCCCCTCCGGCCCGGGTGCCCCTGGTAACACCGATACGCTTCGAGCTCTGTGTGGCTTCTGTGCTGGTGCCTCAGTCCCGCTCACAGAGACCCCCGAGTGACCGAGGAGAACTGCCTCACAAGCTTTCTAGGCTGGGCCCTTCCCAGAAGCAGGTTACCAGGTCTCTATCCCATGGAACTGCTGGTTGGGTTCAAACCTCCAACCTTTCATTTAGCACCTGACAAGCCATGCTCCACTGTGGCTCCACTGGCCTGCACACGCTTGTCTGTTCTAGATGTTTCCAATGAAGTGAGAGCATGGCTGTCTTATTTACTCACCGTGAATAGACATTTTGACATAAGCTGTTAGAAAAACAGTTCAGCTAATATTTTTTTAAGCTTTCTTAAGGAAAAAAAACAATCTCAGAGGTGTGCGGTTCAAATCCACCAGATGCTCTGCTGGAGAAGGAGGGGCAGTCTCCTCCTGTACCAGTCAGATCCGATTTGATGGTACACACACAAAAAATAATTAGAAAAGAAAAAGACAGATGTCTGAGGCAAAAATCCCCAAAACTAAAGGTGATAGGGGTCCTGTATTCCACCACTTGTTACTTCAACAAACAAATTAGGGCCTGATAGGAGGAGGACCCTAAGGCCAGAACAGTGGCCTCGAACTTCAGAGACGAGTTACAAACAATTCCTGCTGGAAGCTGGTGAGTGGTCACCAGATGTCAAGGACTGAGCAGCAGGAGCTGAGAAGTCGGCCTTGACCTTACGTCTAGTTCTCACATACCTGTACCCGACAGGGGCCTGTCCAGTGTACAGGGGGTCCTACTGCCAACCTAAAGGCCAAACCTCCGGCAGTTCGAATCTGCCAGTCGCACCTCGGGAGAGATGGACAATCTCTTGTGTGGTTTACAATCTCAGAATCTCTGTGGAGGTTCAACTGTGAGCTGGTTCCGATCCCATGGCAATGGATAGAGTACAGCATACCAAGAACCTTCCAGAACCTGCTAAGAGTCTTGTCTCAGGACCACTTGAGGTAATTCTTCCCACCCCATTTGCTAAGAAACTGACACTCAGTGTTTGCAGATCTTTTTCCAAGCAGAGTCATACCCAGAGCCTTCTTGTGCCCCAAGAACCCCAGATACAGGTGGAATCCTCCCTTCACCAAGGGAAAGGCACTACCAGATCCACTGGATGAGACTGCTGAGGAGGGGGCCCTGGGGGTACAGACAGCATACTGGGCTCCCAACCAAAGGGCCAGGGGTTCAAGTCTACCCACCGACCTAGCAGTCTACTCTGAAAAAATCAGCTACTGAAAACCCCACTGGGCACACAGTTTTAGCTGACATACTTGGCCTCACGAGAACAAACTTGTTTTAAGGTGGCCTTTTCCCCCTCACCTCAAGGCACCTGTCTTTGAAGCACCAGAACTGGAGGTCCCGCCCCTAAACCAGGGTTGGGGCAGGGAGTGGAAAGAAGTGTAGCTTCTGCGGAGGAGGCTCCCCACTTCCCCAGGAACTGGGTACAAGCCAGCTTCCCTCCAGGCAGGCTGTCTCGGCCCAGCTTTTGAACACGATATGTGGGCACTTCAGGTCAGCCTTGGGGTCTGGAGGTGCTGCAGGACTAATCCACACCTCTCCCAGCCTCAGGGACCTCACCTGAGGGGTCCTCAGTTTGCAACTGTGTTAAGACCATGCCTGCAAGTGTAGCTCCACAAAGCACAGTGCCTGCTCTCCCCACAAACACAAGAAGGGCGCTTAGCTTCTCTTCAGGGTGGCATGTGGGGCTACAGAGGAGTGAGGGGGCCCACAGAGGCCAGGGACTCCCAGCTGCCACCCTGCGTCATGTGGAAAGATGACCCAGGCCTCCTGGCACTCCCAGCCACCCTGGGCAGTGCACAGTGTGGGGTAGACGGTACATGTGCCTACACTGTCCCTTGTCCCCGAGCCACCCCCTGGTGAGCTGCTGGGAGGCCCCCAGGCAGGAGAGGGAGAGAACTGCAGGTGTGGTGGGAAGTCCCAGCAGGTGCCTCACTGCTTTCGTGCAGAAGAGCAAAGTGGCGCCAGGAGACCACATCCTCTCCCAGCCCTGCCCGCCCCTCCGCCTCACACAGCCCGCTCCGGGGAGGCCCGAGAAGGGGATTCCAACTCCCGGCGAGCCCGGCTGGGAGCAGAACTGCTGCTGCCCAGAGTTCTCTAGGCTGAACGTACCATGGACTGCCATGAGAACTAACAGGTCTGTCCTGCAGAGGGTGAAACCAAGCTACTCCTTGGAGGCAAGGATTTTGAGACTCCATCTGACATACTTTGGGCATGTAACCAGAAAGGACTAGGCTTTGGAGAAGGACATCATGCCTGCAAGGGTCGAGGGACAGCACAGGAGAGGAAGACCCCAGATGACATGTATTGACACAGTAACTGGGGTCGTGAGGGTAGGTGTGTCGACCGTGAGGCTGGCTCAGGCTAGTGCAGGGATCAGAGCTGTTGTACATAGGGTCATTGTGAGTCGGTTTACTCGACGACACATAACAACAACAATCTTTACAAAAGCAGATCACTAGTCGGCTTGCTGAGTCGGAACCAGAACCAGTCCAGGGGCAGCAGGTGGGCACTGGGCTTCACAGCTGTGGGTGCACCGAGGTTTTCTTTGGGGAACAAGGCCACATCGGTCAGGGTGGGCAGACCAGACACAGAAAAAGCAGGGAGTGAAGACAGATACCACGGAAACACGCTAAGGGACACGGAATGCTGGGGCCAGAGGGGCAGGGTCAAGGGTCTTCCCCTGGGGCTGACGGCAGGCCTTCTATCGCCAGTGACCTGCACTCAGCCTTCCAGCCTCCTTGACCAGGAGAAAATAAAGGTTCTGTGAAGCCGCTCACTCGTAGTAATACTGTTTATAGCAGCACTAGGAAACCACAACTCAGCCAAGCCCAAATGCCCCCTCCCTGCTCTGCCCATTTTACCTTCTTATTCCCTCCGCCAGGGACATGGGTGATGTTATCCAGGGAGCCGATCTTGGACTGGACTCTGTCCTTGAAGTCCAGTTTCTCGGATTTCACTTCCACCTGACCGCCTCCTAGAACACAGCACGCACAATGCCCTTATATCTTTTTCTGTGATTTGCTAGGCCTTGCTTGTACTAAATAAGATTCACGCAGCACAGTGAATTGAACCGTCCCCCCGCCTCCGAATGTGTGTCAATGTGACTGTGCTGTGATTTTCAGGGGGTTCGCATTCGCAGTTATGTAATGGGACAGTTACATAAAGATCCAGGGTGGTGGTTACGCAATGATGTCATCCTCCCCCACGACTGATCAGCCACTCAGCTGGAAGGGGATTAGCATGACATGCAACACCCTTAATTAGATCACAGCCCTGATGTGATGTAAGAGGAGTGCTCACCAAGGGGTGTGGCCTCACGTTTGATCTTACAAGAGAGAAAAGGAGAGGAGCGAGCACAGATCTGAGGGACCTGCTACCACTAAGAAGTCAGTAGCAGATTCTTGTGCTGAGAACGTCCTAGATCCCAAGGCAGATGGAGATCTCCAGAGCTCACAGATGTTGAAGAGAGACAAGAGCCTGTCCCCAGCGCCAACAGAGAGAGACCACCTTGCCCTAGAGCTGGTGCTTCAGTCACTAGCTATGCTTCTGAGAGCTGGACAATGAATAAGGGTGACAAAAGAAAAACTGATGCCTTTGAGTTGTGGTGGTAGAGAAAAGTGCTAAATATCCCATCAAATGCCAAAAAACCAAACAGATGTATCTCAGAGAAGGTGCTGACAGTGTTCTTTGGAAGCAAGGATGGTGGCGAAGCTTCATCTCACATACAACTTGGCATGTTGGACATCGTGCTTGGAAAGGTGGGGTGACGGTGGAAGGAGGGGGCGGCCCTCAACCAGGTGGATGGACATAGTAACTGCAGCAATGGACTGTGTCAGAGATTGTGAGGATGGAAGAGTACAGGACAGGGTTCAGATCTGTTGTTCAAAGGGTTTCTGTGAGTCCTATTCGATGGCACCTCACAACAGTGCCATGAACTTGAGCTCTCTCAAGTGTTAAGAGGATAAATTGCTATTTACTAATGCCATCCACCTGTGGTATTTCTGTTATAGCAGCACTAGGTTGTGGGCACAGATGGGAACTGTGGACACAGCTCAGTGGAGGGGACACAGCTGGTAGGTGGGCACCGTGCTCTGAACAGGGCCAAGTTTTCCACCTCTAGACCAATGTTTAGGAGAAAGGATTCTCCTTATTCAGAATGAAGCTTGGATACAAGGAAGTCCTTGTAAAGGCTTCAAATCCATTTTGTTTCATCTCTCCAATCAAAATGTGCTTCAAATATTTACTTGGCCAACTCATCCTTCTTAGATAATGCAAAGGTAAATTGCAGGCAGTCTAGAACAAGTTATTCTAATTCAGAATTGGATGGACTCCAATGAGTGAGGTCTTCCTGTGTCAATAGTCTGTTAACCGTAGTCCCACAAGGCCTTGAGTAAGACTGCTGACTGCCAAGCTGCAGTCTGCAGAAGGGCCCACGATGCCATGTCCAACACCTGCCATGAGGAAGGGAGAACCTGTGTTACTTTATCACAAAGGAGAAAGCTGCGTTCCTAGAACACGGAAGGCAGGACAGGTTCCACTGGCGGAGACTAGACTCCTACACAGAAGCCAAGGGAGGCAGGAGAGAACGAGATCGGCTGTGAACTATTCTTCTGATGACCTTCTCTCCCACCAGGGTGGCTCATGACCTCTGCCCTGGACAGGACTTGACAGAGACAGGAAACCAGGTAGGGACTCCACGTGAGCATCTGTCCCTCTCCTTCCGCTATGGCAGCCAGCAGCCACCTGTGGCCGCTGGAATCTTCAAGAAGTCACATTTATGCAGTGCCTCACTTGCCCTTGGCAGGTCTCAACAGCCACACATGGTGGGGGTTACTGGTTGCCATCAAATGGGGTCCCCCTCCAGACACACAGGGTTTCCAAAGCTGTGAGCCGTCTGTTAAAATCTTAGAAGCTTGTCTTCCCGGGTGTCTCTGGACGAGCTGGAACCACTGACCTTTCAATCAGACAAGTGCTTAACCATCTGGACCACCCAAAGGTCAGCGGCCACCATAATGGACAGTGCAGACCCAGAATATTTCTGTGGTGCAGAGAAACATAAAGACAAGTCTAGTTCCCGTGTGGTGAGGGGTAGAAGGGATGAGCATGAAGGCGCAGGAAAAGCATCATTTTCTGTTCCAAAAGGCACCACAGGGGACACGGCAGTGACCAGGGTCCCAAGCGGCAACTGGTGTGGCTGGTGACACAGCTCCACACCAACTGAGGACCAAGAGTAAAGACTGCTTGGAGAATCGGCTCAGATTGAAGACCGGCATCTCCCCTCCTCACCTCGTCTTGGCCACCAGGGTCCATTCAGGAGCAAAGTCCACCCCTCAGTGGCCATCCGACAAAAGCTTCCCCACTACTTGAGGAGAAGGCCTTGACGGCCAATCCCGTCCCATCCTCAGTGCCTTTGCCACCCTCCCCCCCCCCCACCCTGGTCCCCTTTCGCAAAGGCTACCTGGTTTGTGATGGATGTTGCCCAGGGAGCCACACTTGGAGGTCACTTTGCTCAGGTCGACAGGTTTGTAGACTATTTGCACCTGGAAATGAGAAAGAATAAGGAGGAGAGGCAGAGAGAGAGATGCAGAGAAAACAGAGCGGAATTCACTGAGAAGCAGCTGTGTTAGGCCCAGGCCGTGCTGGGATGGCAGCTCCTGTCCCCCACAAGGAAGCCAGCCCTAGTCACAGGGGCCACTGTGGTTTCTTCTCACCGCGCCTCGAGGGCTGTGGGTCCTCACAGAACGAGCGTGGATGGAGTACGTGCCCTCTGTGAAGAGCGGGGGACGCTTCTCTGGGTGAGGTCACGCCCTTTGTTTTAACCACCACCACTCAAACTTAATGGACATGACCCCCTTCCAGACACAAAACCAGCCAGTCACAGTCCTTGGAGACCAAGAAGTGGCCTGTGTGCATCTGTTAGGAAGGCTGGGCTCCCAGAGTGGGGTCAGGGGTGACAGAAGCAGCGTCCACAGAAGCACCCGCAGTGGGTAGTGTGGGTCAGCGAACAGGGCCAAGCCACTTGGAAGTCAGCACACCAACTAGCCCGACAGTTGGCTTACAGGGCAGCAAAGCGACATCAGCAAGACAGGCGACGGCAGGGCCAGGGCAGGTTAGTGTCAAGCTCACACGGACTGGGACACACTCGGGTCTGACAGAGCCCAGGGCTCAGAACCAGGTCTATGCCATCACACTCCAAGCCCTGGGCCTCCCACTGACCTCTAACCCCAAACTCCGAGGCCAGGGCTGGGTCCCTGGTCTCCCAGAGACACCAGGTGAGGTCACCCTGGGCCGGCCACTCCCATCCCAGCCCTCGAATTCCTCAGGAGAGAGGTGGTTCCTGGCTGAGACTGGGCTTAGCAAAACACCAGAAAAACAAAGGAGGTTTCTACCGTGGTGATCTGAATCATCTGGAACAACAATCCCAAATTATTCTGAGTTAAAGTCATGCTGGCATGTGCCAGTGGTTGGTGGAAAGCTGCGTGAGGCAGACAGACAGACGTGGCCCGTGTCCGTGGGTGGCGTGGCGGGTGGGAGGGTGTGAAAGGCAGCAGCACGCAGGTGGGTACAGGGTGTGGAGCCTCTTGAGGTGGGTGATTCACCCCTGTGGTCCTAGTCCTAACAGCAAGGCCACCTGAGATGGGTCACCTGAGGCCCATGCCAGATGGAACTCAGGAGGCCAGCGACAGCCTGGGGAGACTGAGGCAGGGACGGCAGCCTGATCTAGGAGCTGGGGAAGCTCAGGCCCTACGACCATGGATTCTCTGGGTCAAAGGCACCCAGGGCCTACCCACCCTCGGTGTATGTTCCCCCCGAGGCTGCAGGGGGCTCTGGGAGGGCCTCCGGCACAGAGAGGTGTGGGGAAAGACTGGAGTGGCCAAGGCCTCCATCTCTCCTCCCTTCACCCCACACAGGGGAGGTGAGAAATGGGGAGGTGGAGGGAGCCTCCAGGCTGGGGGAGCTGAAGTGGGGGTTCTCCTGCTGTCTCGCCCTGCTCCCCACAACCCTCCGAAGCACCTCACACCAGGAAGTGAGCTTTCTGCAGGATTCCTCTGCAAATTGGCAGCAGTCACAAGCCAAGGCCAGGGCTGGCCAGCATGGGGTATCCTGTAGCTTTTTGCCAAGTCCTAGGTAGGCAGATCGTGCAGGGCAGATGCCCCATGGCCCTGGACGCCCCCTGAGGTCCACACACTGCTTGTGGCTCCTTCGGTACCCACACCACCCGGTCCTGCAGGAGTGAGCTGTGGCTTCCACCCCGGAGCTGGAGCCCAAGGCTTGCCTTTCCCTCACAGCCCTCCACTGATCACCCAGCTTGAGTCAACCCCAAGTTCAAGGCCTCGGTCCTGTGGCCTGAGCCCTCGTCTGCAGTAGAGCTGAGTCACAGCAGGCACAGGATCCACACCTGGGGAGGGGGTGCAGGAGCCGGGGTGGGGCACACAAGGGCATCAGCAGACACGGCGAGGAAGCGTTAAGAAAGCGCCGGGCAGCCCACGGACACGGGTGTTTGGGCAGCAGGAGGCAGCAGCATTTTGCAAGAGTAAACCCTCTGGCCCAGACCAGAGGCTGTGGGGCTCGGGCTGTGTGTTTTCTGCAGCAGTAACTCCCCAAGTGCCAGATCCACCCCCAGAAAGCACTCTTCCCGGGGCGACCTCAGGTCTCGAAACCTGAGCTCCAGGTGTTTACATGTCGATGGACAGCCACGTCTATGGAGAGAGTGGGGAGGGACGCAATCAAGCCTCTGGATGAAGTCGAGGGAACTGGACTTGATTTAGAGGATGATGGGGGGCATCTGAGTAGGTCAAGGGGGGCTGTGGGGTGTGACATTACACAGGATCTCACAGGACACATTCCATGGGGGTCCAGTGAGACACCAGAAGCATTTGGAAGAACCTACATGGAAAAGGAGTCTTTGGGAACTGAGGCCAGGGTCGAAAGGAGTCTGCCCACAGGCCCCACCCCGGGCGGCCCACTGGACACTGCTGTCCTCTCCTGCCCCCCACCACAGAAATGGGGCTGTGAGGTTGAGTGTTGCGTCCTCCCGCGAAAAATGCAGGAGAAGATGGGACTTCCTGCCTCAGATGGGGCAGAGAGGCCCGTGTGTCCACCAGTGAGCGCGGACCTGACAGGGCGGGCATGGCTGCATTGATGGTGGAACCACTTCCTCCCTGCTCGGGAGGGGAAGGGGAGCCCCACCTCCTGGACCCCTGTCTCAACCCACCCCACGATAAGCCTGTGGAAGACTCCTCCAGGCCGCTCAGTCCCTTCTCCTACCCTGTCCCAGCAGGCCAGGCTCCCCTCCAAGGACATGGGGAAGGGGCTCCCAGGAGCAGTGGACGGGGTTTGGGTGCCTGGGTGTATGTTAGGTCCTGAGCCCAAGAACAATTTATTCTGTGCAATGTCCCACAAGTGCCTGGCCTCAGGCCGCTTCTGAGCAAGAACCCAGCATGGTGAGCTGAGAGCGGGCGGGTACTCACACTGCCGCCTCCTGGGACGTGTTTGATATTATCCTTTGAGCCACACTTGGACTGGACGTTGCTAAGATCCAGCTTCTTATTAATTATCTGCACCTTTGATAGCCAGAAAAAAGGATGAGTGACACACGTGGCTGGCTGCTGTGCCCACAGCCTTCAGGCGGGAGAGGAGGCCCCAGCAGAGGCGCCTGGGGCAGGCTGCCTTCAGGGGCGGGCACTGGCCTTCAGGAGACAAGGGAGGAGAGGGGTGCCCCCGGAGGCATTCCTGAGAGGCAGGTGAAGTGAGAGGAGCTTTGCCTTAGAGCTTGGGGTTAACAAACAGACGCCTCCCAGGAGGCAATCTTTCATTTACAAAAGGACTGAACCCCAGGTGCCCCCCAGAGAAGACCTGGATAACAGAGAGGAGCCACGGAAGGTTCCCCAGGTGAGCGTGAAGACTGTGCTCTATGACAAGAAAAACCAAATACATAGAGTCATCAGACCCACCCCGCAACCATCAGAACCTTGGGACTCTTCTCCAGCCTCCCAGGCACAGCGACCCCCTGTGAACAGTGGGGGTAGGGAGCCCACACTCCACTGCTGACTTAGAATGACTGCATCTGAACCTGGAGGACCTGGTCAAAGTGTCTAGCTGGCGATTCTGACAAAGCACTAGGAGTGGGCATCCCCGACCTTGTAGGTGGGGCCCCGTGGCTTTGTGGGGACACACAGCACCCCGTTCCCGAGGGCTCTGTCTCATGGGCCTCCTGACGGACGTCCTGGCTCACTTATCCTCCTGCCCTTGTCTCCTCACATCCCACAGGGACAAAGGGGTGTGGAGCCCGTGTTCCCCAATGTTGTGAGGGTTTCTGCACATGTGTAGCCTGGTTAGTCGTGAGCTGATTATGGGAGGTTCTTCTGTCTGAGTTGAAGCCTTGGGCCCGGAGGCCAGAGGGAAGCTGCCCTGTGGTCTTCACTGAAGCAGACCCCCATCATCGATGGCTCAGAGCTGTAAACACTGAACCACATGGGCTTGCTCTGCTGGCAGTCACAGAGAAGGCTTCGCTCTGTCACATGTGGTCATTGTGTTAAAATCTCCTCAGCAGCACCACACTACCCTTCTCCTGAACTAGCAACCTGAAGGTCAGAAGTTCAAACCCACCTCGTGATACCACAAATAAGAGACAGGCTGTTTGCTCTGTTTTAAATTTGTGCGTGTGTGAATCATCAAATCGGATCTGGCAGGTACAGGAAGAAATTGTCCCTCCTTCTCCAGCAGAGCATCTGGTGGATTTGAACTGTGCAACTCTGGGATTGCAGTGCAGCTTCTTGCCACTAGGCCACCAGAGCTCGTCAGAGACAGGCTGTTTCTTGAGGTTAGATTTCCTGTTCCTCCAGAGCTCTGGTGGCATGGTGTGTGAGGAGTTGCACGGCTACACAAAGTTCAGTGGTTCGAATACACCAGCTGCCTCCCTGGTGGACAGTCTCTTCCTGTAAAAATCTACAGCCATGGGTCCCCAAGCGAAAGGTATCAACTCAACAGAAGCAGGCTTGGTGTTTTCCTTTTTGATCTTCTTCCTCTGAGCACCAGGGATGTATAGAATTATCACTGCTTGAGCTAAGACTGATTTTTACCCAATTTGCTCAAAAGCTATGTAAGAAATAGGCAATAATGGCTCAGAGAAAGAGTTCAAAATGCTAGCTCTTTGTCGGCCGGGTGAATGAGGAGCCAGCCCCTGAGTGGAAATCGTGTGCCTCACTTTTACAGTCACAGCTTGACCGTCTGCCCGTGGGCATTGGCCGTGAAGAACCAGCACTGCCAGTGTGGGTTCTGAAGTTGTGGAAACTGCTTCTGACCTCTGGGTCAGGGCCTGTGTTCAAAATGTCCAAGGTCTGTTAGGACAGGTGAGTGTAGGGGCCATGTCGGGCTGGACAGGCCCCCGGGATCATCCATCGGGAAGGGTCCCGGAACTCTGTCCCAAGTGCCAGAGCCAGCCGAGGGTCAGGCGTCACGGGTCACAAGCAGATTCACCAGAGACACCGCAGCAAGGTTTCCACGGGGCTACAATCTGCCCATTCTGTGTATCTTGGTGTCAAAATGACCTTTCCTTTATCGCACTATCCTGAGAACTGACAATATTATTTTTAAGTGTCCTTTATCTGGCAAAATAAAAATGTTCATTGTTTACATAGTTTTCCCTTCATTTTACTGGTCTGAATCAAAAAGTCTTCTGAAAGCCAATACCTAACCTACCTCTTAATTTCCTTTTTAAAAATTCCTTTAATAATAATAAAAAATGACTATGCATTTCCCTTAGAAAAAGAAATGGAAATTATTTAGAAAAAGAGAGGAGATTTTAAAAGACAAACACCAAAACCGTTTTCTTATCATCCTAACACAACCACATTGGCATTTTTCTGAGCTTCCTTTCAATTTCGCGCATACGTGCGTGCATGCGTGTGTGTGTGTGTGTGTGTGTGTGTGTCTGTCTGTCTGTCTGTCTGTCTGTCTGTGTAGATAGATTGTACAGGATACGAGACACTAACGAGTCTTGGCAGCAGAATGGTTAACAGAATGTCAGTGGTTTGAACCTACCAGCTACTCTTCAGGAGAAAGACGTGGTGGTCTCCTCCCCCCATATTTGCAGTCTCCAAGCCTGACCGGGGGGCACTTAGCAGGGACAGACTGGGTCGCAGTGGGCATGTTCCGGTATAGTCACCAGAAACAACACCCAAACACACGCCACCCCACACTGTCAGCACTGCTCCTGTGCTATCAGATATCTGTGTTGATTCGACATGCAGTAAAATCAACAGCCTCATCAGGAACGTATTCCAGTATGAACTTACTCCATATATTACAACATTTCTGGGTCAAAGTTACAAATACTCTAAGATCCCGCAATATAATTCACTAACTGGCCTTCTGAAAGGGCTGGGCTTATTTCCCTCATGAACACTGTCCAGAGCCAGCCTAGTCCTTGCTGCTGGTACTGGGTAATTGAAAAATGGTCTTGTTTATTTCTTTGATCAAAGTAGTCAGGGCTGGTATCGTGGACTTAATCTGTGTCTCTCTGACTCATGCTGAAATGGATCCTTTGCCCCCTTTCTGTTAGTTGTTGTTATGTACCGGAGTCAAAGCTGACCCAAGCGGACCCTCCTGCTGGTTTTCAGAGGCAGTTAATCACAAGGGAAGAGCTTGCCTGTCTTTCTCCCATGGAGCAGGTGGTGGCCTCGAACTGTGTGCTTCTGGGATTACAGCCCAACTTCTATCCCCTAGGCCACCAGAGCTCCCTTTTTTTGTTAGAAGGTGTATATTTCCCTCATCTATAAATACTAGTTCTAATGTTGGAGAAGAGGACTGAACATCCATGGACGGCCAAAAGAACAGAGAGACGTGTCTCAGAGAAGGTGCAGCCAGAGCGCTCCTTGGAGGCAAAGATGATAAAGCTTCATCGCACGTACTTTGGGCGTGTTGCTAGGAGAGGCTGTTCCTTGGAGAGGGACATCAAGTTGCAAAGGTGGAGGGTCAGTGGAAAAGCGGAAGACCCTCAAGCAGATGAATTGACACAGTGACTGTAGCAGTGGGCTTGAGTGTGTCAGAGGCTGTGAGGACGGCACAGGACAGGGCAGGGTTCAGATCTGTTTTGTTCATAGGGTCGTACTTGCATTGAATAACAACAGCAGATTTATACACAAACATACACATTCTTCCGTGGTAAATTCTCTTCCATTTTCATTTCTCCTTTAAAGGGTAGATAAATCCATAATTCCCTTTTACCCTGTCCCTCACCAGCCCCCTTTGTGTAGTGCAGAAAGGCTTAGCAACCTTCCCCAGTCCTAGGCAAAACCCACACAGGAACCTATTTCTGGTGAAAACAGAGCTTCGCCTGAGTTGTCCTCAAGGCTATTGCCTCATAAACCCAATAAAAACAGCACTCCCTCTTGGCACGCAGTGGCCTTCTGTCCTGCCAGTAAGTAGAGACCATGACATCACCGAGCCCAGTCCGGGGCTGGGAGGAGGGAGACGGGGAGGGGAGACCAGCACACCACCTAGTCCAGTCCTGGGCTGGGAGGTGGGGAGGGGGCCCACATTGTTACCCGGCTCCCTGTGGATGCTGGAGTCACTGTCACCCTCTCTATAACATCTCTGAAGCAACTTGAGTTACCCTCAGAGTTTAAGAAATTCCACATAAACTCTTGCTGGGGGCTCATTTCTTAGAACAAATTTCCCAGAAAGACATCTGTCTACTTTTAGAAAGGAAGTGAAGCAGAATTTTTTTTTTAGCACAAAAAATATTTGAAGGAGAGTGTTCAAGGAAGGAGGACAGCTGACTGATTGTTCCATTGAGCTCTGAGCTTCCTGGAAGTCAACGCAAAAAGGGAAAAATGATGGGTTATATAACTCTCCTTATCTAACAAAGTAAACTTACTAGTTTCTCAAGGCAGAAACTAGTTTCTTGTTTGCTGTACCAATCAGTCCAAGAAATTCATCAGATGGGTCTTTATCAAGGAGCATTAAGCAATAATACAAGGTCTGTCACACACACAGGAATGTTTTTTTCTTGTGGCCTCTTCTTAATCCAACACACACACACACACACACACACACACACACACACACACACACAGAGCAATAAGCTTTTGTGGGATTTGGTAGGAGACACAAGGATATTTACGAAACAGATCTGAATTACTGTCAGTCCTCATATAAAGCAAACACACCTCAGAGAACTCCAGATTTAGAGAAAAGAAAGGAAGGTATGGGTTGACGTAAAATATTCCCAAATCCTGAAACAATTTAACCAGAGTTGTGTCTGTTTTGGACACTAAATTGTCAGAGGAAAGAAATATTAGAAGCTCTATATTTTGATCTGGGAACCAGATGGAAATTCCTCCAGTCAGGGTTTGGCCCCATAAGGGGCAGGTTCACTTGGGTTCAGTTTGTAACCTGAAGGGCCCAGGGCAACCTAAACCCTCACCAGCTACATTCTTTTCTTAGGGTTCAGGTCTCCCATGGCTGTTCTAGAGGGACCCAGCTGCCATTCCCGAGGTGCTCCCAGGATGGCCAGGTTGAGGACTGTGGGCACCTCAGGACCATGTGGGGGCCAGGCTGCTTACCAGGCCCACAGCTGAGAAGTTAACACAAGATGTACTACTTCTCTTCAAGTCCAAGGTGGTTGGCCCAGAAAAGAGCACAGGACAACCTGCCCACTTCACATCCAGTCAAGCAGCCAAAGCAA